CATGATCACTCCCGCCTAAGGATCCAACCACTTACACCCCATTAACTAAGTGGTGGTTATGGGCAAGGGCTTGCAGGATCTGGGCAAGGCAGTGGATGATAGGGATTCTTGGAGATGTCTCATCCACAAGGTCACCATGAGTTGGAACTGACTTGAGGGCAGCTAAGAACAACAAAGTTGGAACTAACCATGCTTTTTAAAATCCTTTTTGGAGACCAATTCATCTTTTGTCTTAGTTTTAAATCACTTAAATTTACCCTGTTTTTAAATTCTAGTAGGCTCTACTTGGATTCCTCTGGGATGGAGAAGCTGGATACAAAATCTCATTAATAGATGTGCAAACCAGGCTCTTAGAAAGGCTGTAATCGATTTGCTTTCAATTAAACCTTTTGTAAATCTTCCCTTAGGTTTGGTTAATGCGCAATGCTTTTAGGATGGTTATCAGCCAGGGTCCTTTGAACACAACTGTCTGCATTTTCTGTGCCAAATTCAGTGTCTGGCAGAAGCCGTTCAGAAGATTCAGGCATGGCTTTTCTGGTAGCCTTGCAGCATTGGATGTTTCAGTGATGCTGCTACCTCTGCTGGAGCTCCCTGTGTTCCACTTGAAGAATACTCCCTGAACAAATGCCTGTCAAAATTCTTAGTGCAATAGAAGCAAGAAGATCCCTTTGCTTTATTGTCCTGCAAAAACTTGGGGGTTACAACAGCTGTTTGAAAATCCAGAAGAAGGAGAGCTGAGCTGTGGGTCTATTTGTCAACTCATTGTCAGTGGGATGTCTTCATAGATGAGAACATTAGAGGGTTTGGTTAGTAATAAATTTTAAAGAGCTGGCAGCATTTACCTCTGCTTGGGGACTGGGGAAGCTTGTTATCACATCAACCTTCATAAGGGATATATGTTAAATGACAAGAGGATAGATGTGGGGCAGGAAAGGTGAACTACTAGGCATGCAAAGTATACCAGCTTTCCTGTGGTTTTAGATTTTAGTATTGTCTCATTTGAGTGAGATTGCTCAGAGTTGTGAGGTTAAGGGGATAATAGTTATTTTAAAAATGTTTGAGTTCCAGTTTGATGCACTCTGATGCATGCCCTCCTGAGTGGGTGGTAATGCTGTTCTTCACCCCATAATGCTAATAATAGCTATGGGGGAGGTCATCCACATGAGGCTTAAACCCTTTCTCCCAAATCACCTATTTGGGCTGTATTTAGGAAAATATATAAGGATGCTGAGAGATCCAGTCATAACCATACACTTCACATCTATTTTGGCCCACCTAATAGTAATCACTGTCTCTCAATCAGCAGAGGACTACAGACCACAGTTTAGAAAATATATTCTTTTGGATTTTGGCTCCCCAGAAGATCCCATCCACATGGTCACTGCTGAGGACTAACAGCCCTATGCAGGCATTTGTATCAGCTCCTTAGCTTTTTCACTTTGCCACTCTGCATCATGAATCTCTTTTGGGCAGTGGCGCCTGGTGATTTTCACATCAATGGAGTGGTACATCCCCTCTGGGGTTAGTCTAAATGTTAGCAGAACTATCCAAGGTGCTGAACTCTAACACATGAGAGATAAACTGGAAGGGAAGGAGACATGGGTACACATGTAAGCTGAGCAATCAATATTTCTACATGCCCAGCTCCTGTTAAGAGATCTTAGTTCATTTTCTATGGAGATCTTAAATACAGTGAAATAGAATATACTTGCAAAACTGAATTTTCTGGAACTCCTACTTTCTGGATTCCTGACATAGTTTGCAGAATTTCAACCATACCCTTCCAAAAGAGTTACAGTATATTTCTTTTGTATTTGCTATGGCAAATGAGGGAAAAAAAAACACAAACCTCTGGAAAAATAACTTTGGGTTCTGCTCCAATAATCCTAACTGGTAAAACAGACTATCTGGTAGTCAGCAAACAGCCCTATTGACTAACCTAATCTTGTTTGGCTAATCTAGTCCTTCTAGGTTTGTTCTGTTCCTACCCTTCACTGGTTTATTCTAGTTTTAACCCTAAACAAGTGAAACAATTAATAAATACTAATCTCTGAATGTAGAGTGCTCTAATGTTTACATTCAAGAATCATGTAATTGTAGAGGCAAATGGAAGGCCCTCCCTCCATCTTTACTACCACTACTCTAGACTTGGAGGGAGAGAAGAAAAGATGGGCACAACTCCACCATGCCTAGACCCAGAAGGAGACAGAAGACTCCCCCTCCATTCCAACTGCCACCATCTTGGCCTTGGAAGAATAGAAGAACCAGCAGTATCTGCTGGACTTGATCCCCTTCCCCACTGTCATTC